CTCGTTCAACTGCTTCATTTTCTTGGCCCCCTATAAAGTATATCGGTTGTTGGTCAGGCAAATGAATTGCTAGTCAAACTACTGTGTGAGATTTATCAGACATGCTAAACTCACTTAGACGTCACATTGCCTCTGGAGCGCTAACATATCGTCCATCTAAAAAATTTAAAACTTCATCATGGTTTATATTGCTATCATTTTTCAGCACGATTGAAGCTGCATCGTGCCCTTTATATACATATTTATACATATATTTTACACTTTTTACAGATGCGCAAATTTCAACATTGATATGTGCATTATACTTCTTGATAAGGTAAGGATTATATGGAACAATCCAACGATTATCAATGTGATGCTTGCCAACTTTGACTGGCTCAGTGGAGCGTCTTTTGTAAACTGGATAGCCATTTACATTTTCTTCTGTCTCCTCTTTGAAATCTTTAGGAAATTGCTTCGAGCATTTACCATCTCTCATACATGGGGAATTTTGGTATAAATAACCACAGGGGCCATGGACCATACATCTTGTAACAATTTCAAAAAGACGTTGATTTATATTTACGTTAGGTAATTCTGCTCTTACAAATCTATCTATGTCGTCTTTTGAACGAATTTTGGAGGAAGAGTCTAATGTCAGTAAAATATGGCTATGAGGCAAGCCCCGCTTTTGAAATTCAATAACATATATGTAAGAAGTAACAATTCCAAATATATTTCTCTTTATGAGATCGTCCAAAAGCTCTGACAGCTTCATCTTGAAAACTCGTACAATAATATCTGGTCTATTCTCGGGTTTTTCCCGACCATTTATGGCCTTTAAAATTTCTGGCCAGGCAGGATTACAGGTAAATGTAACAAACAGGTCCGGTCGCTCAAATTTTCTGACCATAGCCATAGCATCTTGATCATTTTGTTGCATAAATCTNAATTGAATTTACTCTGCTTTACTTGTTGTTCTTCATTTTAACTACCTGTTACTACTTCACCCTCACTATTTTGGTTCCACCAGCAGGATTCAAGCTGGCTTGATTGGCTGGATCCTTTCAATGCCCTATTGGCAAGTGTATACATCTGTGATTTTGTCTTAGTTTTAACTTTTCAATTTTAGCACTATATTCATTTATGTCATTTTATCCTTTCACCTTTTGGCGGTTTTATGAGCTGTATTTACGGCGGTTTTTGGTGAATTGTTAGATTTTTTGTCTTGTATTAAGGGTTCCACCAGCTCTGGCTCACAGCTCACTCAGTTTTTACTGGTTGTCTCAGGGTTCACAATTTTTGTATTATATATATATATAATTTTTGTATTCTATTTATATGAGGGTTAATAAGTTTTGTATTGTATATATACATATAATTTTTGTATTTTATTTATATAAGGGTCTGTTGACCTTTTAAATGATTCATTGTATTTGGCGTATGGGCCTATTGGCCTAGGCCGCTGTATATATATTAAATATGATGCTCACTACGTTCTCTTGAGCACCGAAGCCTATCGGCAGCATTCCTGGCCAATCTCCGTTGATGTTGTTCAACAGTTGTTTCATTAGAACCTCGTGCTAGTTCTGTAGCATTTCTAATTGTTCTCCGTTGATATTGCTCTTCTGGAGTTTCATTAGAACGTCGTGCTGATTGATTGATTGATTGAATGTAGGGTTTAATGGCACAAAGTCCAAAGAAGGACATGCTGCGCCAAACAAACGGTTTTAAAATAAAGGTAAATGTATATTAGAAATTTTCCTCATTAAAAGTCACAAGGAATTTATAAAACTACATACAACGTGACAGAGGTATTCAAAAGTGAGTAAAATCAGATAAAATGTAAATGTAGTAAAGTATTATAAAACAGTTGCATTTAAAGCTGAATAAAATCAGATAAAANTAATACACCCCTAGAAATAAAGCATATTGCCCCAAATCAAAAAGTATCAGCTTTCTCTTAAAAAGTTGATGTATAAAATATTTCAGTTTTCCAATCTACTTTAGGGGTTAGCAAAGACATCGCAATTTGAGATTTCCCTTAAAAATATCCCTAAATTCTGTATTTTTCAAACTCAAATACTTATTTCATTAATTTTACTTTATTTTGAACGTCGTTGAACAGCAGATCTAAATCTATGTTTACGACTACAAATGTTCAACTGCGTATCCTTGAAATTCTGATTCTGGTCCAGAAGACGAGGGAGTTCCTGGATCAGTACCTCCAGAGGTAATGATTTATTAAGGAAACTTGGAGGATTTGTGACCCCGACAGATTTAACTTGCACCAGTCACTATTTAATACACGGGGGTAATATTCAGTAACAAAAAACTCATATCCATAATTGTTTTTCAAGTTTTTCTAGCATCATTTACGTCAAATATAGTCATCGCCAAAGATAACACTGACAGGGGTCTGCTTATTAATTTTTTCCGTGCCGAAGTGTTTTCTTTTTGTTTTAACTTAGGAACTAAGCTGGCCAACTCATATTTGTTCTTTTTTCTATGTTCAGTTGAACAAATATGAATTAAATATGAATGAACATAACAATCCCAATGAAGAATACGAGTAGGATATATCTGTCCCGTTGAAGAATACTAGTGGGATATATCTGTCCCAGCGCAAAATCACAATGCTATTTCATGCAAGAAACTCTTTAGCGCCATCTAGGGAATATTTGACACATGAAACACGTATACTTGATTTGATTCTACGACTGGGACATATTACAATGAGTTTCTATGTGCTTTTCACCCCATTAGTAATTTAGAAGCATTTGTTGGGACAATTGTTAGTAGCCAAAGGGTTAAGGTATTGTGTTCATCAGAAGGTTGTAATGGGCATTTATTTATATTTCACATTTTAAATATTTGGAATTTTGCAATGTAATGGTCAGAATTTTTTTTCATAGTTTGATTGTATTTAGGAAAATTTTTGGGTCCACATTGTATTCATGATATCTTTTGAGTTAGTCTGTGAATATTTTTTTTTTGCTAATGCGTGAGCCTCTTTTTTAAAGTAATTAAATTATCAGCCGGTGGAGCTAAAACTGACTCGATCCTAGTCTCTGTATATCCTTTGCGAGATTGGAAGTATTTTTTATTCCTTGATTACTTATTTTGTTAACCATGCTGACTCATGTAGTATGGCTTGTTGAGGAGATGACGGACTTTACTTCTTCAATGGTTCTATTTCTTAGTTAAATGCAATTGTGTTACGAAATAGAATTTAGTTTGCTTGCCATGGTTATTAATAAGGATACATACCTTCTTTTCTTTAGCATGAATTTAAGAGGGAAATTCCTTTCATCTATAGATAATTTTTCTTTGCATATTCTACGCTAATCACACTTTTTGTGAAAAACTTATTACATGTAAATAAATTTTTATCTCATTTTATACCACTTCTTTTAATTTATGTAACAACAAAACTTTTAGCATTCTGAATACTGGCGAAATGCCAGAAATTATTGATTGTATATCTCAAGGAAGTTTTGACTGTAAATTACAATGTACATTTCTTAAGTTACATACTTTGTCATATTTTAATGTACATTAAACCCAATATAAAATAAAAGTCTAGATAAAGCACTGGCCTCCTTTCGTCAATATTAACTTCAAAAACTCGTAATTTTGGTTCAACGCTCTGCTTAATCTGTATTTTAATTTATTTAAGCTTGGTGCAAACAAAGATCAATCTAAGCCTTTATGTTGGTCCATTTTTTACTCTTTTAAACCATAAAATAAACAACAAAGTTTTACTTTATCAGCTTAGAGATATTGGATGCACATTAGAGAAATTTATTGTGGAATCTAGAATGGCTATACAAATGGTCAGTCAGTAATGGTCAAAACGTTATAATGATTTTTTTAAAGCAATGAATCCAGTTCTATTGTTTTGAAAAGACCGTTGTGCCACCGATAAAAGACTCCAAACTACTCGATCCTAGTCTCTGTATATCCTTTGAGAGATTGGAAGTCTTTTTTATTCCCTCATTGCTTATTTTGTTAACCATGCAGACTCATGTAATATGGTTGTTGAGGAGATGACGGACTTTACTTCTTCAACGGTTCTATTTCTTAGTTAAATGCAACTGTGTTACGAAATAGTATTTAGTTTGCTTGCCATGGTTATTAATAAGGATACACACCTTCTTTTCTTTAGCATGAATTTAAGAGCGAAATTCCTTTTCTCTATAGATAATTTTTCTTTGCATATTCTACGCTAATCACACTTTTTGTGAAAAACTTATTACATGTAAATAAATTTTTATCTCATTTTATACCACTTCTTTTAATTTATGTACCAACAAAACTTTTTGCATTCTGAATACTGGCGAAATGCCAGAAGAATTTTGCACAGGCAATTCTTACATTGCTAAAAAATATTAGGTTCCTCTATTTCAATAGCGAGCAAAAAGATTCGAAAAAATAAGCGAAGGAAATTTAAGGGCTGTAGTTCCCGATTTCAATCATAAAAAAATTACAATTATCATTAAATCATGCATATTAATTCGAAACTATTGTTTCAGAAAGGCTTTTTGGTATTTATTAGGTTTTTGGGTAGTACGTGTACCCTACTCTCTGCCATTAAAGCTTTTTTCACTTTTGAAAATGATAATACTGATCTTATAGTATTAAACGATAATATTCATTTAGGTCTATAAACTTATAATTCATAACATCTTTACAAATCTTGCTTAGGATTTCTCTCTCTCTCTCTTTTTCTTAAATAAGAAACACATATTATGTTGTTCATAAAGGAAAAATAACTTTATGCAGCACAACAGCATTTTTAATTAACCGTTTGCGAACCGTATTAACTTCAAAGCTTGTAAGAAATCACAATGTTTCTGCTACTTAAGGCTCGAAAAACAAACTCTTATACTACTTTAGTTTCTTTATTCACTGTAGGGGCATTAAATTTGATTCTGAATTCATATCTTCAAAATATATTTTGCCCTCACAACAAAATTCAGAAAATACTTCATTTTAAGTTTTTACTTTCAAGAAATTTCATAAAAAGTAAGCCACTGTTGAGCGCAAATTACATGACTTGCATATAAATAGTAATAATTCTACTTCCAATTTTGATGCAATTGATTAACGTTCTTTGTGAAGGATTTAATTATTCTACACAAACTAATCAAAGTAAAGTAATCCTCTAAGTTCCTAACATCCAATCATCTTCCTGAACTTAATACTTAACTCTTTGTTTATAGTCATCGAAAAAGCAAATCTAATTGGAAACTGCTTGCGTTTGAATTTAAACGGCATATTATTATCAGATGGAATTAGTGGAATTCGAGGTATAAGATGAAATTCACTGTTACCATCATCACAATTTTTTTTTTGCTACAATGATATTTTTCTCTAATGTAACTACTGTTAATCTTGTACCATTGCAAAAACCTCTAGAAGGAGCTAAGTTTCGAAGTATCATAACTATAGCTCCTGTTTTTAATTTTAATTTGTGAGGAGGCATTCCAGTTGGAGTTAAAATATTTAAGAATTCTTCAGGGTATGATAGTTGGTCTTGAGGGTCATCACTGACTATATTATCGGTACTCTCATAAATAACTTCACTTCCTGGTAAGCATGCTAATACACGGTTATTATTTAGTAATGGTGAATCATTGGTTACAGTAAGTATAGCTCTACCTTTTAATTCTGCAGGTGTTATTGTACTAAAAGTGATATCTTGAAAAAGCTGTTTTACTGGATCTTGAATTTCAGGATAGCAAATTGGGGGCAATATAATTTGATCTCCACTTGCACCCTCCCCAACTTGTAACAGCCAATTAGCAAATTCTCTTTCAGAAGCCAGAGCACGCATATTTTCAGTTGATTTGAAAACAAAAAGTTTAGTCCAAAGCGCGTGTTTTTTAATACAGCTCGCAACTGTCAAAGCTCTGGAACCTCTCTGAATAACCGGAAGAACCTGTCGAAAATCTCCACCCAGCAAAATAATTTTTCCATCAAACGGTTCATCAAGTTTAGTTAAGTCCTTCAGTCGATAGCTAAAAAGGCATGAATGTGCGTCATGGGAGCTTCATCCCACACAATCAATTTAACATCTACAAATAATTTAGCTTCAGGAGTATTGGGTTTCAGATTACACGTAGAAGTAGAATTTAATGTTTAAGGAATTTTAAAAATTGAGTGGGCAGTTCTGCCTCCGATTAATAATGTAGCTGCAATTCCTGTCGATGCTACTGCGATGACTTCATCTCCTTTTCCCCTAACTGCATGTAATAGAGTTGAATATAGAAAAGTTTTCCCTGTCCCAGCAGGACCATCAAGAAAAAAACACTTTTGAACATCAGACTGATTTCCGTAAACAGCATTTACTTTGTCAACAACAAATCGCTGTTCAGAATTAAGCTTTTCAATATTTGAATTAGCTTTAGACTGTTCTTCAGCAGTGTCGAAGAATATTGGAAAGAGATTTGTTGGTAAATTGACCGAAGGAAGTTTAACTTTTTGCAAGTTTAACCTGTAAGACTTAAGCAGTTCATTTAATGCTGCTAGTGCATAAAGTGGCCCAGTTTCCTCCGAATATTTATTTATGAAATCTTCAGAAAGAGCTTTATGTTCAACCCAAAGATCGGGAATATTTTCAACCTCCTCAAAGGCACAAATCATGGCAAACAAAACTAAGGTAGTTTGGCATGTGCATTCTTGCAGCTTCAAAAAGGGTGTCATGCCAGTACTGATCCCCATCAAGCAGCCCAAGTTCTTTACACGCCTCTTGAGACGTTTGGCAGAATTTCCCATTGATAGTTTTTAAACTATTAAAGGAGAGTGCACCTTTCTCTCTTAACAATTACATGCGAAGGTAAAATCTCTCAGAATCTAGCATGAATGTGCGTCATGGGAGCTTCATCTCACACAATCAATTTAGCATCTACAAATAATTTAGCTTCAGGAGTATTGGGTTTCAGATTACACGTGGAAGTAGAATTTAATGTTAAAGGAATTTTAAAAACTGAGTGGGCAGTTCTGCCTCCGATTAATAATGTAGCTGCAATTCCTGTCGATGCTACTGCGATGACTTCATCTCCTTTTCCTCTAACTGCATGTAAGAGTTGAATATAGAAAACTTTTTCCTGTCCCAGCAGGACCATCAAGAAAAAAACACTTTTGAACATCAGACTGATTTCCGTAAACAGCATTTCGTACTTCGTCAACAACAAATCGCTGTTCAGAATTAAGCTTTTCAATATTTGCATTAGCTTTAGACTGTTCTTCAGCAGTGTCGAAGAATATTGGAAAGAGATTTGTCGGTAAATTGACCGAAGGAAGTTTAACTTTTTGCAAGTTTAAGCCGTAAGACTCAAGCAGTTCATTTAATGCTGCTAGTGCATAAAGTGGCCCAGTTTCCTCCGAATATTTATTTATGAAATCTTCAGAAAGAGCTTCTTTATGTTCAAACCAGAGATCGGGAATATTTTCAACCTCCCCAAAGGCGCAAATCATGGCAAACGAAACTCTAAGGTAGTTTGGCATGTGCATTCTTGCAGCTTCAAAAAGAGTGTCATGCCAGTACTGATCCCCATCAAGCAGCCCAAGTTCTTTACACGCCTCTTGAAACGTTTGGCGGAATTTCCCATTGATAGTTTTAGGATAGCCATTTTCTTCTGTCTCCTCTTTAGGAAATTGCTTCGAGCATCTCTCATACATGGGGAATTTTGGTTTAAATAACCACAGGGGCCATGGACCCTTGTAACAATTTCAAAAAGACGTTGATTTATATTTACATTAGGTGATTCTGCTCTTACAAATCTATCTATGTCGTCTTTTGAACGAATTTTGGAGGAAGAGTCTAATGTCAGTATAATATGGCTATGAGGCAAGCCCCGCTTTTGGAATTCAATAACATATATGTAAGAAGTAACAATTCCAAATATATTTCTCTTTATGAGATCGTCCAAAAGCTCTGACAGCTTCATCTTGAAAACTCGTACAATAATATCTGGACTATTCTCGGGTTTTTCCCGACCATTCATG